TCTTGCAGCCTGTAAGAGCGGTTTGCCTTGTGTACCGGATGGGGGTGTTGAAAGGGGAGTTGACAGAAATTAAAAGACCATGTCGCAGTAGGCGAGAAATAATAGGTTGTAGTCCCCATAAAGCTGGGTCAGAAATGAGGTCTTGTTTGGGGACAAGACAGGGCGGTTGGTCTTGAGAGGGATATTAAGTGGTTGCAGGAGTGAAACCAGGGAGGAGTGGCAGTGTCCCAGACTCTGGTGATGGGGGCGGGGAAGGAGTCATCAGGATGGCTGGAAGGGATGGTTGTGTCCCAAGGATGGTCAGAGTAGCTGACAATTTAGATAAGATGTCTCACCCTAAAAGGGAAATGGACAGGTAGGGATAACTAAAAATGTGGGGAAAGGTATTGACCCAGTTGGCACCGGACTGGGGGAGTTTTTGAGGGTCTGGAGACGTTACCATTAATGCCCACAACAGTAATTGGCACCAAGGAGTTTGGTCCTTGGAAAGAAGGCAAAGTGGAGTGACATGTGCCCATGCCAATTAAAAGTGAGATGGACTTACCCTCGACCATCAGAGTTACCTGAAGCTCAGCATCCACAATGTTCCAGGGAGCCTTCATGGGTTTTGGGTGTAGTCAGTCTTCAGTGACCAGGCTGAGAAGTCTGGGAAGGAGTTGGTCATCGGGTCCTGAGGCTGTAGCCCAGAGGTGGCAGGGGCAGCTGCCAGCATTGGGCAATCCAGCTTCCAATGGGGACCCCCACAGCAGGGACACAACTTAGGCTGTGGGCATCACCTAGCCCAGTGACTGTTCTGGTGGCACTGAAGCACGGTCCTGGAGGGACGCCCTTGGTGAAAGAGACCTTAAAAATGCTTTGAGCCACTGGCTGGGAGTCTGTTCCAGCCTGAGGGTTTCTTACAACGGAAGCTAACATCTGCAGCTCAGCAATGTACTGTTTTTGAGCACTTTCATCTCTATTACTGAAAACTCTGAAAGCCAAATTGATAATCTCCTGTTGTGGGGTCTGAGGGCCAGCCTCTAGCTACTGTAATTTTTTTTTTTTTACAAATGTCTGGTCCTGATTGGGTAATGAAATGAATGCATCTTTAGGATAAGTAGTTCTGGCCTTTCTGGGTCTAATGCTGTGTGTCAACTCAGGGCAGCAGCCAGGCGAACCCTAAACTGAGCTGGGTTTTCATCCCTGTTCTGAATGGTTTCCTGTAACTTACCAAAAATAGCTGTCTTATGGGGCCTCCCTGTGAAGTCCGTCTGCTAAGTCTTGGTTTGCTGTGTCCTCAGATTCTGCCTGGTAATTGCAGTTTAGGTTCTCCCAGGGGACAGCTGCAGTACCTCCCGGAAGGTCGGCTGGAAGGAGGTGCTATTCATCCCCTTAGGACTGGGCCAGGGAGATCACTCGTTCCTGCTCTTCTGAAGAGAGGCTGGAGCCAAGGACCACATTTAAATCAGTCCAGGTTAGGTTATATGACTGAGGTATTGAAACTCCTGTATACATTGGGTGGGATCTGAGAAGGAGTGCAGATGCCGGTTAATTTGGGAGAGGTCTGTCAGAGAGAAAGAAACATGAACTCTAACCATTCCCTCTGCCCCACCATCTCACAGAGTGGGAATTTGGGGCGGGGGCAAGGTTTTGATGCCAAGTTGCAATCCAGATCAGATATGGGGTGGAGTGGGGTTGGGTGTAGCATATGGAGGAGGACTAAAGTCAAAGGGAAGCTCTGGGTACGTGGAACAGTCACTGGATTGACAAGAGGCCAAGGTGGGGTGGGGGCAGCGGCTGCAGCAGAAAGTTCTGGGGGAGGAGAAGTTGCTGCAGCAGCAGGAGGTTCCAGAAGCAGTGAAGGAGTGGCTGCAGCAACAGCAGGGAGCCAGGCCCTGCCAAGGGAGAAGATCAGTTGGATCTGTTGTCAGAGAGGAGACTGTGTCTGGTGAAGTGGGTGTGGATGGGAAGGAAAGAAGGATTTGAGAAGGATCCCGTGAGGCGCACAAAGTGGGAATATTGTGGAGTGTAAAGAACACCTGAGGCTAAGTGTGGTGGCGTACACCTATAATCCCAGTGCTCAGGAGGCTGAGGCAGGAGGATTACTGTGAGTTTGAGGCCAGCCTGGGCTACATAGGGAGTTTAAGGCCAGTCTAAGCTATACAATATGACCCTGTCTCAAAAGAAAAAAAAAAAAAAATGCCCAAACGTAAGCTAATTCTGACCATTTGCTCCACTTCTGGCAGTAATCATCTCAGTCCTGCAGAACAGAGAAATCAAAAGTGCCATTTTCTGGCCAGGAGGAGCCGTTGTCTAGTTTTTACTGTGGCCATTTGGTATTGCAGAAGAATATTACATGCTTGGGCTTCAGGTTGGGGTAGAGCTTGGAGAGGTTTTGGGTTTTTTAAGAGACAGGCCAAGGGGGAGCAAAGGGGAACAGAAGGAGGAAGCTTCCCCATGGAGAGCAGAGAGAGTTAACTGTCATGCCTGATGTGGCAAAACAAGCCACAGCAGGGCCCCAGTGGACTTCTCGGTTGGGATTCAGGGCCTTAGCAGAGCATGGGTAAGTGATCAAGGAAGCTGTCGCTGGAATCGGTTGATTCCCAAGGGGAGCCAGTCTCTCTGGGAAGTGTCCATGACCAGTGCTAAGTTTACAGACACGGAAAACAGGGCAAGTCTCTCCTTGTCCCAGGGAGGGATGCGGGAAGAAAGAGCAGAAGTAGGGAGCAGCAGGGGTAATGGAAAGGGAGAAGGTCTTAAAGGCTCAGAAAGGGTTAAAGGCACAGGACAAGGGAGCAGTGGGTGGGTGGCACCAGCAGCAGCAGGGGATTGGGTCTTGAAGGTGCAGAGAATGTTAGAAACTTGGAGAGGGGAGAGAGAGCTTACCAGTTTGTTTGTTTAATTTTTTTTGTTTTTGTTGTGTTTTGGTACCGGGAATGGAACTCAGACCTTGCACTTGCCAGGCAGGCATTTATGCCACTGAGCTCTATCCCCAGTCTTGCTTACCAGTTTTGAATTGTCAGCGTGGTGGGAGATGGGAAGCTATGTGGAGCACTAGAGCAAGGTCGGGGAACCAATGTCACTGGTTGGCCTCAGTGGGAAAAGGCTCGAGATAGGGTGGAAGACTAAAGAGAGCCCTAAAGAGAGCCCCCACCTCGGGTTTCACACACCAGTGTTAAAGGCATTGAATGAGAAAAACAACAGACAGGCTCAGGTGAGGAAAAGGTAGGGTGATGGTTGATACATTGTGTCAACTTGAGAAGTTTTGCCGTTCATCCTGCCAGGGTCCTCACTTTGTAAACGTCCCCCTCCTGTGCAAGAGGAGGGTATGGAGATGGTGTGAGCCTGCTTTATAATATGAGGGAGGAAAAAAAGGCTTGTTCTCCGCCTGACACCCCTTGTGCTCTTGCTGCTTTTGCTGTCTTCTGCTGCCTTAAACTGTTGCCCCTGTGCCATGCCACCCTGCCTTGGAGCCACTGATTATGGACTGAAACCTCCACAAATTGTGAGCTAAATAAACCTTTCCTTCTTAATTTTGGGTGTCAGGTATTTTGTCTCAGCAATGAGAGGAAAGTGACTAAGACAGGCTGGATTTAATTCTGTGTAGATATAGGCAGGCTGAAATCTTGTTGAGTACAGCCTGGTCCTTTTTGTGGAGTCTTATTTTCAGAGGGCAGCATGTTTTTTGAGAAGGTCTTTCTCAGGTCAGGCCTGACATTCCTATCTTTTTGTTTTATATACAGAGAGGCACAGAAAAGTGGGCAGAATTTCTCACGGCTATTTTGGATGTGCCAATAACTTTTTATTTCTCTATCCCCTTACTTTGGGTTTAATTTGCTCCTTTTCTGTAGTTTGTTAAAATCGAAGCTTAAATTACTAACATGCTACTTCTTTCACATATAACTATTTACTGCTAAATATTCCTCTCTAGACTTATCCACAGATTTCCAGGCTGGTCTTTGAACTTGTGATCCTCTTGCCTCAGCCTCCCAAGTACCTGGGATCACTGGCATGTGCCACCATGCTCAGCTAGATATCTTTAATGAATAAATTGAAGGTGGTCTGTGAGTGAGCTGGAGCACCTTCTCCTTTATGTTCAAGATGATTCAAATTGGTGCTAGGAATTTAGCTCAGTGGCACAGTGCCTGCCTGGCAAGCGCGACGTTGTGAGTTCGATTCCCAGTACTGGAAAAAGAACAAAACAAAAAAAGAGATGATTCAAGTTGCCAGCCTGGTTCTTTCAAGAAATGCTAGGCTGCACTTAGTCAAATCAGTCCTTCCCTCTGTCTCCTCGGGGCTGCCTGGGCTCAACAGGCATTGGCTTCTGCCCTTCCCTGAGGCGGTCCTGGCTCCACCAGCCCTAGGTGCCAGAGACTGGATGCAGGTCCCTGACCACAGGCTCATCTTCCCAGTGTGCACTTCCCAGTGGTGCCCTGGAGACCCTCTGTATGGTGAGTGGTTCTGGTCATGCTCAGCTTTCATGTGTGTGTTTGAGGCATTGCAGTAGGCTGTGTGTGGACCACAGCTAGCATTCCCAGGACCAGAGGATGTGAAGGAGTTTAAAGCTTAGAGCTCTGAATATGGGTTATTGACAGATACTCAGGGTTTTGTTTTGTTTTGTTTTTACTAAAATGTACCTTTTATGCAGTTAGACTTCAGTAAATGGTGGGCACTAACTATTGTGTAAATGTTAACTATCCGATAACATCACATAACCTGGCACCACTGAAGAGATGCTGAAGGTGAGGAAGGACACATGCATGGCGCTCATCTGCATTCGTGCAACTTCAGCTCAACCCTGGTGTCTGGGACATGTGTGCTGGGCCCTACACAGACTCCCAGCCCGCCCTACCCAAGCCTCATGGCAGGTCCCTCCTAGGAGCAGTGGAGAAGAAGTGAGGTGTTTGAGCTGACCTCCCTCAGGCTGCGTGATGGCCTCCTGGCTTACTCTGCTCTAGGTCACATTTCTGCAGACCTGCCTACTTAAAACAGCTCTGTAGATGGTGCTGTGTTCATTACAGAGGTCGGGCAGGCCTGCGTGGAAGCAGGATGGAACCATTTCACAGCGTTCGCCTGGACACTCAGACTCTGGACGGCCCACACTGGCTGCAAGTGAGGAAGCATATACCTGCAACATCAAAGTAAGCCTCAGCCCAAGGCCCACGTGGGTGTGGGGATACAAAGTGTCCGTGGTGGTTTTTAAATTCTGAGTTGGTTCATTATAGGCAAAAGCATTTTCCTGACTGTGAGATTCTCATTGTCTGGGTGTAACTGCCAGCACAGACCCAAGGCATGCCTCTGACTCTGGTCTAGCAGTCAGGTCCCTACAAAGACAGGAAGTTAGCAACTTCCATCTGAAACCTGGTTTGGTGGTACACAGACACTGTCTGTGCTTTTAAGCAGTGACCCTGCCACTTGGAAACCTCCCGTTACCACTGAGAAAACTGCCGTTGACATGGCTTTTGAGTGTAGCGCCAAAGGAGACTAGAGGAGACAGTGATCAACAGGGTTCCTCCACTGATGCTGTGTGAGCTTCCGGGCTTCACACAGTTGTCCCCGCCCAGATCAACCATTGAACCCAGGATGAGACCGCCACCCCTGCTCACACTGGGCCTTCCTTAGGTGGAAGTTCACAGATCCTTCCCTGGGCTCCATATGATGACCCCTGGGAAGCGGGTGATAAGCACAAGGGAGGGCAGTCAATCCCAGGGTGGTTGCTGGCTGCAGGTGCTGGTTGGAGCTGGCCTCTGTAATGAAATGCTAGAGCAGGAGCCCATCTGGCTCTTTGTAGAAGAGAGCAGTAGAAGTGTATTTGCAAGGTATGTCACCAACATGTCTTTGTTTCCTGCGATTCTTTTTTTTTTAGATGGAAAAACTGTATCTTCGTTATTTGAGAGCAGAGAGCTTTAGAAAGGCTCTGATTTATCAGAAGAAGTACCTGTTACTGTTGATTGGTGGATTCCAGGATTCTGAACAAGAAACCCTGTCCATGATTGCTCATTTGGGGGTATTTCCTTCCAAAGCAGATAAGAAAATCACATCTCGTCCTTTCACAAGGTTCCGCACTGCTGTCAGGGTGGTCATCGCAGTATTAAGGTAAATGCTGCTCCAAGTGGGCATCACATGCTCTTGGTGTGTAGGTGGCTTTATTCCTTGAAACTTTACAATGTTTTCTCTCAAGTTGGATGGTGCTTGAAGCTTCAAAACAGATGATACTTGTCTTTAAGATATACTGTGTGCAGGTGTCCCTTGTAGACTGTAAGATTTAAGAATGCCCTTTTATTACAGAGAAGGGATTATCTCTCCTCTCCACAGGTCTCATGCCGGGATTCTTTCTACCAATGGGCATATCAGATAACATTTAAAACTGTATTTTATTTTGCATATTTCGGTTTTTAGTATTTTTGTCAGAGTTGTATCACAGATGAGGAGGGGTGCATAATAGAGTACGTGGCTCCCTGAGGTTGCAGCCAGTCTTGAGCCTGTGCACACTCCCGGGACTTGACTGGCGCGAGTGCCTGGTGACCCGAGCCCTGCCTGCCCACCTCATCCTGCCTGGTTCCCTAGGAAGGCATTGTTCACATTGCTTGTCCATTTGCCCAGGGATCTCCTCTGGAGCAGGAAGGCAACTCCTTGGCGCCACTGGGAATTCTGATCATTCCAAAAGCAACAGTGTTGAGACTGCATTTCATTTTGTAATTTTGTAATTTTTAAATTTCTGAAACATTTGCTCCACTTAGGACTGAGCAGCTGTCTCTGCTCCCTGATGCCTGCAGAGGCACCTTCGCAGGCCAGGCTGGGCCCATCTGGAGTGTTGGACAGTAGTTGGGGGAGAGGTCCCTACACCTCTGAGTTCTGCCTAGCACAGGCATCTATTATGCACCCACCTTCTGTCCATCTGACCTGTGAGGAGGGTGCCTCTTGTCAGCAAGTGCTTTGGTTGCTGGATGGGGAGAGGTAGCCAGACCCACACACAGCTGCACTCGAACGGTGATTCATGTTCCCGTGAGGGGTGGAGGAATGTGCAGTCCCTTTCACACCATGTGGAAGGAGCTGCTGGCCTACTGCTGTTTGGAGAGCTGTTCTAGGAAGGTGCCTTGACCACCCACAAGTGGCATCAGGGACAGCGTGAGGTTAGCGGCCAGAGGGAGCGTGTGTTGTCACTGGTCACTGGTGCTGCATATGATCATGCACTGGCGTCCGACAGGCCTGAGCTAAGCTGTGTTGGGGTCAGGGTGGAGCCAGGGTGGTATACGGTGGAGTCACAGGTGGCCTCATCAGGGTGGTAGGCTTGGGGCGGGAAGGTTTCTGCACCACGTGTGAGCACAGGTAGCTTTCCACATGGCACCAGCTCAGCAGCCCACTGACTGACCTGGCAGGCATGGGTGCTGGGTGAGCCATAGTCAAACAGGTCCCGCTCAGTAGTTTGGTCACATTGGGATTTCCGTTGCTCTGTTCATTTATGTTTTGCTCTGATTTTAAATGGGCTGTGTTTCTTTTATTTGTAGGTTACGTTTTTTGGTTAAGAAGTGGCAAGAAGTAGATCAGAAAAGAGCCCCACTGCTGCAAGGCAAAGCCCCCCACCCAGGTGGGCCTCAGCTGCCATTCATTGTGACTTGCAAGCCTCTCTTCCTGCTACTTGTACCATTTTCAACAGTGTTTTGGCCATTTCTCAGTGGGAATGCAATAAAACACAGTAGGAGAACTGGTAAATTCAGTCAGTGGAGTTGTCAGAGGCCAGACGAGAACAGGCAGCGCTCAGACCCAGGCCTACTCAGAGTGGTTCAGAGGCCACACTAGCTTGAGTATGCCAAGTCTCCGTGGACTAGCATGCAATAGGGTAGTCTTCTTATTCTCTGCGGTTGTGCTCAATGCCTTCCCTTCAGAGCACCATTGCTTAGTTTTGATCAACCAGATCTTGTCTCTGACATTCTGCTGCCAACTACTACTTGCGGAGCAGCTTTGCCGACAGCAGAGGGGCTAACTGGGAGGCAGGGCATTCTGCTGGGCGCTTGTCCTGGTCCCTAGGGTGGCAGACATGAACGTCCTTCCTCCTCAGCACAGAGGACACAGCAAGCCATGGCCCCCAGGGCTGCTTGAGTCACTGCTGACTGCCATGGTGCCTCGGTCATCCTGGTGGCTCTGTCAGTTCAGGCCATGAAGAAGGCTTGATCCCTGCAGGCCACACTTGGTCCTCTCCAGGACTTCTGCCCCTCCTTCCTCCTGAGCCCCTCAGAGCTGATGGAGGTGGGACAGCCTGTCATGTTTTAGCCATAACCCTCTGGGGCTCCGCAGGGTGAGCTGCACTGCTTATACTGCAGTCTGGACACAGCCTTGTGAGTGAAACACAGATGATGAAATTCAGACTTCTCTAAAGCTTTTAAAAATATTGTAAGCCAGGCATGGTGGCCCACGCCTGCTATCCCAACGTGGAGGAGGCCCAGGTAAGAGGGTTAAGAGTTTGGGGCCAGTCGGGGCTATATAGTAAAACCCTGTAAGAAAACCAAAAAAAAAAAAAACTCAAAATAGAACATGGATACTTTAAATATGTTTTGAAATTGTCATTTAGACTCCCAATAGCTCATAAATTTAAATTTCTTTTCCTATTCCTTTGGTTGTTAAATAATGCTGTGGGTAGGACCCCGAGTACCACAGAAGCAGCTATCTCCGCTGGAAACCAGAGAGTTCCCTCCGACCCAGGCTGGGCCTTCTCACCGCAGGAAGGACTCTGCCCGCCACATCCCCAGCAGGAGAGAGAGGTCAGTTGCCAATCAGCTGCTTCAGCTTTGCCGCTCTTTCCCAACAGCGTGTGGTTCCTCAGTGGTTCTGGCTGAAGGTTCCAGCTTTGACCCATACCAGAGCAAGGCAGAGTACACACCATGGCACCCGAATTCAGTGATAGCATGCAATTCAGGTCTGGCAGGTCTGGTTCTCTTTGGGAAGGGCCCCGCAGAGGATTGGGAGTGTGTCAGGTAGGAAGTGGAAAATGGGACCAGCAGGAGAATTGAGAAAGGGCAGCCAGTTGAAGAGTGGACACTGGTGAGTTTTTCCCTAGGGAAGTTTTTCCCCCACTCAGGCATCGGTTGTGCATGCGCCACCACGCCTGGCTGTGCAGCGCTTTCTAAAAAGCTATGCTTTTTGTGAGAAGAAAGACTTTGAAGTAAACAGCCCTAGAAATGATACATGTCCCATGGTTCTGCCTGCTAACTCACCATGGTACTATCTATCAGACTCAACTGTTTGTTTTCTTTTTTTCCCTTTGATGTGGTTTGTTTGAAGATCCACTCCATCCCCAAGTTCAAGATTAGAAAGATCCCTGAATGCTTCTCAAGATCCAGAACGTTCCTTGACAGAATATATTCACCATTTAGAAATGATCCAGCAGAGGCTAGGGGGAACACCCCCAGGTAATAAAAGTCCTCCTTGAATTACTTGTTCAAATAGTGTAACCGTGCTCTAGAATGTAAAATAATGTAGTAAAGACTGCTGGTCTGCAGCTGAGTCATGGTTAGTATCCATCCTTATACTCACCTGTCGTTAACAGGATTGCAGTAACGAGTGGAAGTGAAGAGGGTCACAGAGGCATAAACAACTCAGCAGGGAGGGTTGGGTCAGTTTGAGCCTTTCTGTCCTGTTATAATTCATTTTTATCAGAATTTAGATGAATTCAGTGATAGCACTTGAAAATTATTCTTAAAAGGTATGAAGTCTTATAACAAATTGCTACCTTATTTTTATTACATTTAGATCCTACTTCCAAGAAATCCTGTCGCCAGAAGATTAAACAATGAATAAAGTCTTGTGGCTCTTAAACTATGACAATTCTGTTTGAGGAAATGCTGTTTTTCCCAAGGAAAGCAGGGGGTGTGGCATGGGGTGCTCTTCATGTGCCCACGGTGCCATTCCCCAAGTGCCACCCAGTATTCTTGCTTCTACGAAGTGTGCAAAGCCAAATGGAGCATTTTTCTGTGACTTCAGTACCCAACAGCTGCTCGACTCTTCTGTGCCTGACTGTGGAGCCTCTGCCTCCTCCAGGGAACAAGATGGCGTGGCTTTCTTTTGTCTGTTAAAGTGTCGGATGGGAACTTCACTTAAAAATGAAGTTTTAAAACACATTCAGGAAGGAAGGAATAAAATAAACACTGTTCAGTCGTGAACAGCCTTGTGTTGGTTTTAACTCATGCAGTTTATTCTTCTCATAGGTAGAAAAGTAAAATAAAACTTAGAATTTATGTCAGACTTCTCTAAGCAGCAGTTTCCGGTAACCCTCGGTCCGTCTCGCAGCAGTGCACTCTGCCACTGTACTTGGTTCCATTTTGTTTTGGAAAGTTGCAGCCCTTGTGGTGGCTCTGTGTTTCACTAGTCCTTGCGCCATGTGACATCTAGCCCAGGGCCCTTTACCCAGACATGTGCTGTGCAGGTGTGTGTGTGTCACTTAGTGATACACACACATTCACACGTGTACGGATTTAGTAAGGCTTTTTTTTTTTTTTTAAAGTAAATCTAGTTAGCAAGTAGATGGTTATTGTTTGAAAGTTTTCATAATGAAAGATAGAGAAAAAAACATCATGACCAACTACAGTTTGGCCCAGGAGAATGCAAGCTGGAAAACAGAAACCACTTTGGGTTTTTGAAGAAAGGGAATTGAATGGAAGGACTGGACTCTTCTGATAATGAGGTAAAGTGGTCCAGAGAGGATCCACTGCGGAAGTTGTCATCTTGATGCTAGAACAATGTAATTGTTCTTTGGACTCAAGGGCCAGTCCCAGAAGTCCCTCTGGTAAATGGGTCCAGAGGAGACACATCAGCCGCTGGTGATGCTGCCCCACCCTCTATGAAAGATAGAAAAATGCCTGTCTGCCCTCCTGCCTTTGTGTTGCCAGAGGCAGACAAGGGAGCTTGGGACAGGTGCCTTGCAGTGTCCACGTCTTGCACAAAGCAGGGAGGACCAGATGTGACTGAGGCACACAGCAGGTGGCCATCACGGTCCACCTTTTTGGCTTTCTGTGTGTATTCTCGACCTTCATCTGCTTTTCATCACTAGGATAGAGGCCGAGGCACCTTGCCAATAAGAGCATGTTTATCTCTTCCATGAGAAAGAAGATGCTGTATCCTCTCCACGACTGTGAGATGTCTGTGGCAGTAGACCAGGACTGGATCAGGCCAGTTACGAGTTAGTTGGTGACTGAACTGGTCAGCCCACTGTGGAAAACGGAAGGGACACGGAAGTACTCCATGCACACACAAAAGTTGATCCAGTCCTTGTTTCTATAATGAGTGAAGGTACAGGATTGTGTTTATCATCTTTCCTTCACCTAGTCTTGGTTTTCTAGTACTCAATTAGCACCTGGCCTGGTTAAGTGACCCATGCTTTTCCCTCCTGAAGGCAGACTACAGTCAGTGCCTTCCCTTCAGAGGCCTTTTTCTTCTTTGACGGTTAAGTGTGCTGAGCACCACGTGGTGCCCAGCAGGCACTGGATTAGACTTCCTTCTCATTGTGTACCAGCCATCTATTTTCCCCTGGAATTAATAGCATGGGCCGGTACTAGACCGCAGCCCTGCTCACCAGTTCAGACCATGGTCTCAGCTGCTAGTTCAGCACGTGCGTGGTCCTGTCTGGCGGCAGTAGTCCTCCCTTAGGACAGCATAGCACAGTGTCATGGTGGAAAGCTGAAGTTCCTCCAGGGAACTCAACTTGTAGCCCCTGGGTTCCTGGCTGATATATGCTGGGTGTGGGAGAAGTGCCAACTCAAAACACACACCGCCTCCTGCTAACAGAGCGCGTTCTTCTACTGCTCGCCACCCACTTGACAAGCCATTTCTGAGTGAGGGAGTTTTTGGAAGACCAGGCATTCCATGGTCGGATGCCTAGGGCCACACTTGCCATGAAAAAGATTTTCTGGTTAGAAGCAATGATGGTGAGTCTGGTTGAGTCTTGTCTCAGACTAGTTTCCTTTTACACTGCTACTCGGCAGCCACCAGCTGTGTGTTCCACAGTTCAATTCTTACATACTTAGAGTTAACACAGACCCAAGGGATAGAGACTTGAGTCCCATGAAACTACCTGTGCTTCAGAGGGCAGCCACAGTGGGGTCCCCAGGTGTATTCATCAGCTTCCTTGTCACTGTAACCCAATAACCAACAACCACAATTGAGGTTTAACTTGGCTCACAGTTTCAGGAGGCTGAGCCCATGCTTGGGTGACTTCAAGGCAGAAACAGTGAAAGGGCATGGCTGAGCAAAAATGCTTAGTGTGTGGCACCTGAAAGCCGAGTAGGGGAACATGCAGAGAGGAAGGGGAAGGGGACCGTGTGTAGCACCCAAGGTCATGCCTCCAGGACCAATCCAGACCCGTGACAGTGCACTATGTCTCTCTGACCAATCCAGACATGTAACAGTGTGTTTTACTAGTCTGCTGTGGTTTTCTTAATCCAGTCATGCTGACATAGGATTAATGGTCACACCTGGCTACCCATAATCCTCCCAGCTAACTACAGACCTGGAGTTCCTTACTGCCTCCATCTCTGGTTTGGTAATTTCCTAAAATGATTCAGGAAGGTGCTCTATTTAGAATTACCAGTTTATTATAAAGGATACAGTCCAAGAACAGCCAAATGGAAGACATGTAGCACAGGTACGGGTTTCTGCCCCCTCCAGGCACACCACTGATCAGCACTCACTTGTGCTTACCAAACTGAAAACTTCCTGAACTTCACTGCTCAAGAGTTCTTACATCAAAGTTCCATTACATAGTTGAGAATGATTAAATTTTGGCCACGTGACTGAAATGGCTTGTCATAAGATGATACCATGTGAGAGGACCTAGGGGCAGAGTATATCACACCACACATAAGCAGCACTCCACGGGATGAGGGCTTACTGTACTTGCACCCTTGATGTCTTGCTGATCATACAGCACCCAGGACATAATGGACATTAATCTGCCTATTAATTGGTGTCCATGGGTGTCTATTCTCTGACAGGACTCAGGAGCAAGTCAGATGTTGCTTTTCTTTTTTGGTACCGGGAATCAAGCTCAGGACCTTGTGCTTGCCAGGCAGGTGCCATACTGCTGAGCTATGTCCCTGGTCCCCAGATGTTGCTTTTCAAATAGAATGATTAGCAGAAAGAAGGTGGTAATTAAAAAAAAAAAAAAAAAAAAAAACAACCCTAGGGGATCTGCCTTACGGGACCCCATTCAGTCATCCTAATTACAAAGGCATTTTAGGCACTTGAAATTGCTAAGCCACAGGTTTGAGGAGCAAGACAGCTTGCACCAAAGCTGCAGGTCTTTTATGGTCCAGTTCCCACTTAAAATTAATAGCCTAGAGTAGCACATCCATATATTGTATATGTGGTCTTTAAAACCCAAATAAACTGACCCTTGTGTCTCTTGATTGTAGGGAGTACAGGGCTTTTCATTGTAGAAGGAATGTGATATTCCATGAACTCCTTGATCCCCAGAAACTTTGCTAAAGTGGCAGGCCCAATTTTTCATGGAATTTATCTGCATACATCTAGCACATCTTACGAATGTAGGTGCTCACTGTCCTCCATGATCTCCTTAATGTAGTGGACAAAATGGTAGGTCTAAGTAGTCAAGACATGCTGCTGGCTCTGCTAGACGAAGCTAAGCTGATGCTCTTTAGTAATTGGCAACAAGAAAACTGATGAGAGCCAGACTACAAATCCTGCATCTGGTACACTTGCCTCACAAAAAGATGATTCTCAAAATCCATCATTATCACCTCCCTTGCTTCTGGGCCCATACCAAGAGTTGATCCTATTATAACGCAATGAATTCGAAGGCTGACTATGTGAGGAGACAGCCTACCCGAAAATGCATCAAATGAGGATGTAAACTGCACCATTACATCAGAACTAGAGAGAGTATATACAAAACTGCTGAGAGATTTGGAAGGCCTAAGTAAACGAGTTGTGGCACTCTTGGTTGTGCTACTGCTGCTTCAGTCTCCTCAGTCCTTATCTGTGACCCCATGGAAAGTTCCCTGTGACCGGCTGACAGAAGCAAAGCACAGGTGCGCTCTATGGGCAGAGCTACACAGGATGTTGGCATCAGCCAGCAATAGGCAGTTGCTACATTACAGCAGGTTTAATTAGGGGTTGGGTTCACAAGATTCAAGTTGGCAAAACTTTTGCTGGTACATCAGGTGGTCTATCTCATGTGCAAAGAACAGTTACTGATCCCTAAATATTTGTATGCAGGGGGGAAAAGCTATCCAGCTGTCAAGAAAAAGATCACAAGGATTAGTGTCTTTCTCCTCTCTTTTCTCTTGCTCACTTGCTCCTTTTTTAAATACACGTTTGCAGTACATGATGATTACACTCCTTGTGGAGACTTGGTATGTACATGTACATATCTTAATTCTCTCTTATCCCTTCCCCTCCCCCCTCATCCTCTTCCTTTTTGTAAAAGATTTATCTCCCTATTTCTTATCTGTCCCTTATTTTGCTCTTTATTTATAATTTGGGTTTCTCATATAAGAGACAGCATGCAGTATTTAAGCTTGTGTGTCCAACTTATGTCACTTAATATTGTGGTCTCAAGGTGCATCCATTTTCCTACAAATGACTCAAGTTTATACTTTTTTATGGCACAGATGTACTCCATTGTATATAAATATCACACTTTATCTATTCATCTATTGATGGACATATAAGCCACTTTCAAGATTAGGCAATTATGAACTTTGCTTCTTACAAACATGGGTATGAATGTATCACTGTAATATAATGTCTTCAACTCTTTCAGGAAGTACCTAGAAAATGAATAGCTGGGTCAAATTCTAATTTTACTTTTTTGAGGAATCTAATGATTCACATAATAGTTATACTAGTTTATATTCCCACCAACAATGTAGAAGTGTTCCTTTTCCCCCATAGCCTCACTAGTATTTGTTATCTGGTTTCTGGATAATAGGCATTCTTTCTGGATTAAGATGAAATCTCAGGTTTTAGGACCCAGGCCTAGGATCATCAATCTGCTCAGAGGTACAATGACAGAATAAAACATAGACAAAACATTTTAGTTACAAGGGGCAGAAGGATGGTCAAAGTCCAGTGACAGGCTAGGACCACAAGGCATGGTGTTTTTGGCTTTTATTAAGCATACAGCTTGATTGGGAGTGTGCTGTGA